GGCACGGCCCTGCAGGCGGAGAGAGAGGCGCTGGGTCAGTGCGGCCGCCCCCGCCCTCCCCCGGCGGGTGTGCGCCGGGGACGAGCTGCTCGGCCCGGGGAAGACGAGGCGGTGCCCGCCGAGACGAGAGCGGAAGGCCGTGCGTGAGCGTCGAAAGTTTTTCACTCTCCGGAGGAGCCGCGTCCTTCAGGGCGGGTTGCGAAACGCCTTTTCCCTGCGTCCTGTTTCTAGGTGGGAAGGAGCGCTGGCCGTGCGCTGGTGTTTACCGACAGGCTTAGGGGTAGCACTGCAGGTACTCCGCTTAAAAAACGGGAATGGGCGCTTCTTCCAGCTGCTGGAGACACAGCCCCTGTAGTGCTTCTGGGAAGGTTCATCATAACCTAAAAACGTCTCGGCCCGGCTGGTTCTACACTTTTATTCCTGGCCTGTCCCCAAGCCCTGCCGGGCCAGAAAGACTGATCAGTTTTATGCTGGCGATGTAAGCCCTGGGCATTTTGGAGAACTAAAAGTGGTCAGACTGCCGCTCCTGGGTGTACAGCTGTGAGCAACTCTGTTGTACAGTCATCAAGTAAATAGAGAGGTTTGTGGTGAAATACAAGATGCTCGGCAGTAAGACAGTTTCAGATCACAAGCTATCAGTGATAGGTTTTCAACCTCGCGTGAATATTCTTTCCATATGAAAACAGATTTTATCATTTCCGTACAGTTTCAGGTTGACGTAGCTAAGGGATGATTCAGTGTCTTGCTTGATATCTGTAGGATTACTACTGGTATTTAGTAGTGTTTGTGCAACCATTAAGCATTTTCCACCTATGAATATAGTACCTATATTTTCCAACTAATTGTCTCGTTTTGTGTTTTTATGTGTCATAAATTTACATTAAAGTTCCATATCCCATTGACTTCTCACCTGCAAGAAGGTATCTCTGTGAAGCCTCTGTTTATCCTTATCACAGTAATCATTCCACAAATTCCATTACCCTGATAAATAACTTGTTAAGGGATCTGTAGTTGGCCTTTTATTTCATGAGATGTCTGTGAAATGTAAAAAGTATGGTGTTAATATCATGGTGGCCTATGCACATGTGAAAGAATAGGAAGAAGAGTGGTTTTTTTCTTTTTTTTCAACTCAGTTGTTAATTTTTGGGGGGGCTAAATTTATATATGTAAACCTTATATATGCAAAAGTTATTATTACCCATAATAACACCAATAAGCTCTGTGTTCATCAGCAGCAGTGTGTGTGCATGGTCTGATAACCATGTGCAGTACTGCTTTAGTACTGTGTATTTCTCCTTTTATCTGGGAGAAATTATTCAGTGCTATTCAGAATAAAAATATCTTTTTGTGCAAATAGTCACCCTTGTATGGTTTTGAACTTACATGTGTGTGGAAAATCTTTTTCACATACTGTATACAGGTGATATTCTTGCTAAAATAGTAGAAAAATGCACCCCTGGTAGTCTTGGTGCACTTGAAGCTACATGAGACAAGAGTGTAACCTAGATGCATTTGACTTTCTAGATGTTGCCTGAAGATATCTGCTGTGTTAGATTATACAAAATAGTTACAAAATGCCATTTATTATTTCAGGGATACTTTATTTATTTATTTATTCCAGCACAGTGGAAGTAAGCTCCAGCCCGTCACAGCTTTCTTGCCAACTGCTCTAAGAAGTTCAAAGCCCACTGGTGCAACTAGTAAGCATGGGGGAAAGCTTGGGTACTGAACTGGCTTCTGGAGGAACTTGAGCTTAAGGATGAAATATGGAAAATGCTACAGTTTTTGCCATAGACAGCACCAAAACAGACCTGTGTGAATGGAGTTCCTGTGGTTAGCAAGTGTGCTTGGCTTCCTGCTACCATGCAGCTTTGATAGAAGCCTAGAGGAGTGTTGCGTGTGGACCAGCTTTGAGCAGCTTGCTAATTAATGGTGCTCTGCAGAAATGTCAGGATCATATTTGGACACTGATGACTTCAGCCAAAACTGCTGAAGGCTGTTGCTAAGTCTGGCTGTTGACCAGCTGTTAGCAGCTTGCAGGCTGATGATCAGTACTTAGCTTAGTGTGTCTGTGCCACACCACTTGTGACAAACGGTAGTGACATTGGAGAGATCATAAATGCTAAGTCTGAATTGCACATCCATCTGGTCACTGGAAACAGCTGGCATGCTGGCTTCACAAGCACTCTGTCAACTGCTTCAGTCCTTTGCAGGTTTGGTTTATAAAATACTTGTTTCCATTGTGTTTGCTTCCTAAAACCAGGCAAAACCAATGGTTTTGCAGCACTGGTTTGGAAATCCACATTTGTTCTTTGCATCGTATATAGACCACATACCTTTGTGATACAGCACCTGTTTTGTCAGTCTGTATTTGCAGGATGTCACAGACAAATATACCCATCCCTTAAACATGTAGCTGTAGTGCGCTTTTTTTTCCCCTGAAAAAAAATAGTTATGTGCTAGACCTTAATGGTGGTTGATTGCTACGTACGAAAGGTACTTCTGCTTAGCCTTCAGTGTCTGTGGATGTTTTATGTGATGTAATATGGAGATTGATGCTGGCAAGGGAGCATGTGGTACTTTGTTCTGTGATGTTTCTCAGTGAAAATTTATCCTGGTAACAAATATAGGCTTTATCAGGATTGGTTTTAAGTTTGGGCAAAGTAAACAGATGGATATGGGAGCAAACTGCTGGCCAAAATAATGGCCATAGAACACACAAGGGAGCTCTGGCCATAGATCTATGCAGGGCAGCCTCTCTGAGCACCATCTCTGTGAAACAGCTCTCTAGTTAACTCTTCTGCTTTCTGCCTTTCCAGCCTGCTTGCTACATGACCACCTCCTCTCTCCTGCTGGTGGGAAGTCAAGCACTGCCACAGAAGTGGGGGGTTTTCTCATGACAATAATGAGGTCAAAACAAGGTTTCTGTCCTCATTTTTGTGGGGTGACAAATGTTGATTCTCCATATGGTTCAGAGACTGTGTCAGCTCTGGCTGTTTACTGCCACCCTGCCAAACCTTAGGTGTTTTTCATAAATTTGGTGAAGGGATAGACAGCTTATGCAACTGAAGGCATTTTTTCTTAATAGATTTGTACATGGAAAAAGCCTTAATGTGGGTAATGTACTGTGCTCCTGAGCCAGAGGCCTATGCTCCCTCCTGAAAGGAGACTTCCATCCAGTATTTTGTGTACATACAAACATTTAAAAAAGCAAGTTTGAGAAGCTAGGAAGCCTCACATTTGTAGACTTTCCAGATTGGATAGCTTTATCTGAGTAATAATAGTTTAAAAAAATACTTTCTAAACAAGAATCATTGGTGTGTGATTTTAAAAAACTTTTCTTCTTTTTTTTTTTTACTTTCATTATTACCAGATTAAATTCAAGTAATTGGAATAGCTACATGCTTTTCCTAACTTTAAATTTTCATCTTTAAAACCAAACTGATTTCAGTGCATGCTTGAAGAGTTTTACTTAAGATCTCCTAATTTCATACATTACTATATAAACAGGCCAATGATTTGGTCTTACAGAATTTCTGAATGTTTTTATAGTCTTATAGATTGTCCCAGATGTGAGAAATTGAACATAATGTAGTTTATAACTTGAAACTTTTTCTTTTGAGCAGAATTTCCCTGCAGCCACTGAGTCTTTTTGCAGATATAAGGGCTTGCTTTCATGCAACTCATGGCTGCTGTACGCCCTCTGTTTATGGTAAGTAATTTTCTAGGCAGCAAACATTAACTTTGTCTCCAATTCTTCTCCCTGCAGGAAGCTGCACAAGCCTTGATTTATGCTGGAATGGCTGGGTCCAACTTGGAAAATATTCAAGAAAAAATAAATGAGTACTTGGAGAGAGTTCAAGCTCTCCATTCAGCAGGTGGGTAAGGAGCTTTCTAATTAAACCTCTGCTTAAATTAATTGAGTGGAAAGTTGTTTGCTGCTGTGAAATACATATCAATGGTGTTTGCTCTGTTTTTATTATTCTGATTTTCTTGTCCTTTGTGAAGAACCGCAAATACAATGAGCACGTCAATGATTTGAATTCTGAGACATCCTAAATTAAGTGCAGACTGACTTTCAAAGGACTTGGGTGTGGGTATTCTTTGATTTTAAATATTCTGAGGAACCACAACTGCAGAGCAAATGTGAGAAAGGCTGTTAATAAAGGTATTATGAGACATGGACCTAAGGAATTGTATATTGTCATAGGTGATGTATTTTCACAAATGATGCAATATTTTATGTAATTAAACATCCTTGTTCTCAATGTAGTATGAAAGAGATTTTATTTACATAATTTCACTTCTGAAATATCCTGACAGCTAATCTCTGCTTCAGGGGAAGTGTGATGGCGTTTCCTTGTCCTTGCGTAGATGTTTGCATCTGATTAGAGCTGCTAGTGTTTTGGTGACATGTTCAGGATGTTTTTACATGTCTGCTGCTGTAGAAAGCTAAATAGTTGTGTTTTCATTTAGTTCAGTCACAGAAGACAGACCCTCTGAAGTCAAAACAACAGTTGGACTTGGAGCGTGCTCACTTCCTAGTTACACAGGCTTTTGATGAAGATGATAAAGGCAATGCAGAAGAAGCTATAGAGTTGTACACAGAAGCCGTGGAACTCTGTTTGAAAACAGTATGTTAAGCTACAGGTTAACTTGGTGGAATTATGTGATGGTAAGAAATTCTTCCACTCTCACAAATGACTGACTCATAAAAGCTGGCTTGAAAATGGAGTACCTGTATTTGTAAAAACTACCTTTTAATTTTTTTTTTGTCTGTTTCACTGGGTTTTTTTTAGTGTTTCTTCCAGTCTTTGTTATGTTGCTATACAACACTGTAAATTTCTGGGGACTTGTCATTTATGTGGTTTTTTTTCCTGAACTGGATTATACTAAAAGCTCAAAATATTCTTTGAAATTATTCAAAATATTTGAAATATTTTTCATGTTGATTTTTGCCCTGGAGCAAATACCACAAAAACAGAAATTAAAAACTGTTGAAAATGAAGATGACTTGCTAATTTGTCAGCTGTATTAATTTCTGACGACATTAAAAGAAATCATTTAAGGGAAATTGGTGTGTGTGACATTTTCTGAAGACTTAACAGTCTTCTGATGCCAAAACTATTAAAAATACAACTTGATTACTCAAGTATTCAATAGCATAGGTGTTATGAGTAAATTCAGTTCACACTAAATTTAATCAGGATGAATTGGCCATTACATGAAACAATGAAGAATATAATTACAGGTACTGCTTTTCTCCCTTAAGTCCAGTTGCCTTAACTAACTCATTACAAGAAGAGCTCACCATCATAATGTAACTCCACCAAGTCTGTTTTTATTTTTCTCTTCTTTTCAATGTTGTAAAAATATTTGTGGGTTATTAAGGGTATTGTATTCCTGTTGCTACATGCTTGAGTAAATCCTTTCCTCTGAATTATGTTAACAGGTTTTACCTAGGCTGAAACCCCTGGTGATACAGTGTAACCAGATCAAGAGTTAGTAGAGCTGCTCTAGTTTTTCCACTTGAGCTGTTGGAGCAGAACATTTTAATTTTATTACATAACACTTACTGTGGCAGCATGCTTCTCTTCCTCTGCTGTGCTCCTCCTTTTGTTGTCTCAGTGCATGCAAATATTACTGAAGTTAGTCTGAAAAATGAAGTTAGTCTGAAAATATCTCATATTAACAACTGCATTTATTGGGCATTTTACTAGGTACACGATATTGCTGAAGTTTCTTTTAATCTTGACTAGCATATTCTTTTGTTGGCATGACAGTAAGGTTTGTCCCTCAGGGTGACCCAAAAGTACCTACTTCTTCCCAGGATGAAAGGAGATTTAAGGAACTCTGCTATCTTGAAGGTTTTCTCCTTTCTCCTCAGTATATTCAGGGGAGAGATTTGTTTCTTCCTTATCCTTGAGGTACTCAGAGAGCAGCCATTACTCCTCTTCTGTGGCTGATTCCTAGATGGGTGTGCTGGTGTTCCACCTCCACTACTTACTTTCATAAATCTTTAAAAGTCTTTTCCAACCAGGAACCTTCATTTATTTGCAAATGAAATTAGTTGCTTACAGAGGGTGTTTCAAGTTTTGTTTCTTAGGGTGAAAGTAGCTTGCTTTTTGTATCCTCAGTTGACATCCCTGACCTGGAATAATTGGTCTAGGCACAAAGCTAGAACCTGAAACCTGCATGTGGGTGCTACAGGAGAGGCCACACCTCATGTTGTGTCTCCTGCACATTGTTTGGCTGCAGAAGCCCTGCTTCATCTGTAAGGAAGAGAAAATTATAAACTGTCATAGATGACCTCCCAAATGGGAACAGAAGTTAACACTTCATACCTTTGTCACCCTGTCCTAGGTTATTTAATGCTTTGGACTGCAAGTTAAAAATGTTGTTCTTACACCTTTGTCTTGTTTGTTGGAAGACAAACTTATTTTCTGAAAGTAAACACTTAAAATCTTCTTCCTCAGTTACGATGATCATTTTAACACATGTGGGAAAAAGAATTGGAACGCATCCAAGTCCAGAAGTATATGCAACATTTTGTTTTGTCTTCTTTCTGCCAATAGTGTTTTAATACAATTAATTCTTCTGGTAATTCTTTTTGTATATGCACCGTTTTCCATGCTGAAGAATTTTAGTCACAACTTCCATCCTATCAAAATTTCACTAGAACAGCAAAATGATATTTGCTTACATAGTATTTTTTATGCTGACTTTAAAAAAAGAAACAACAAACAAAGCAAAATATTTGCTAATTTCAAAAAGAGAATGCTAGTTAATCTTAGCTGTAATCTAGAAGTATGACAACTAAGGTTATAAAACATGTTGGTAGTTTTTGGATGTGTAGATTTTTCTTTTATTTTGTACTTTAGGCTACTGAAACCTCAGAAGCAGGCCTCCAGTCCAAACTGAAACAGCTGGCTCGACAAGCACTGGATAGGTGAGTACTGCTACTGTTAGTAAACATACTTGCTGTCAGGTCTGAGTGCACCCTCTGAGTTGGATTCTCAGTCTAACATGTCTGTGTGGGTTCTGTGTAGACTAATGTCCTGCAGAGTTCACCTCGGAGCTAGTTGCCAGCTGCTTCACTGCTGGCAACCCTCTGGGAATCTTGGGACATGCAGAATCAGGAAAGAACTGTGTGCTTCTTAGAACAAATTCAGTACTTTGGAGATAGAATCCAGAGTACTATAATTATTGGCCTCTATAAAAGATGCTGAATTTAGGCTAGCATGAAGTCAAGGTGTCAGTGTTCATCCATAAGGAAGACAGCTTGGAAACTGGGAAACACTTTTCTTTACAATAGCAATCTAATTTCGTGGTATATGTGTAGTGAAATCTCTGTCTGAAACAATTTACACAAGTGTAAGTTCAGCATACCTCTTTTTAAATCAGCTCTATAATGGTGAATCCCAGGCTGTGTTGGGCTAAGTTTCAGTATAAACTGGGTTTTAGCACTTCTCAATCTGTATTAAGGAAAAAAATCCCTATATTTTGCATGTGTATGACTATCCAGCAGCTTAATGTGGCAGTAAGAAAATATGGCTCCTGCATACACAGTGTTCAAGCAGTTGAAAGTTTGGGTTGTGAGAATGCCCATGGGTTTTACTATTATTGTACCTGCTAGACAAAATAAATCTGGAAGGTATGAAAGGATACAGATCAGTTTTCTCTCTGTGTTTCAGTGGTCTTGTTCTGAGATTCCACATAATGAACACTTAAACAAATTCTCCTATCAGCATAATTTAGAGGCAGTAAAAATCTAATGAGTTCTGTCAAAAGCAGCTTGTATGAGTTGGAAATGCTATATTTTAATTGATTCAGGAACAGAAGAATAAAGAAGTACCAGCATCAGAAATAGATTTTTGTTCTTTAGAGGAAAGTACTGTTGGTCAACTTGGGCATTTGCTCATTCTGTTTAATGTATGTGGGAACCTGAACCAAGAAAAAGAACTGTAATTATATTTTTATCACTGTTGTAAAGAAAATGCGTTCTTTATTTGCTTTAGAGCAGAAGCACTGAAGGAATCTATGTCAAAGTCATCTCAGAAAGAAAAGCCAGCTGCAGCAAAACCAAATCAGCCAGTCAGAACATTCTTTCCACTGGGACCTGATTTTTCTTTAAATGATAAACCACAGACAATCAGAGCAGTACAAGCTAGTGAATCTCAGCGTCAGAGATACACTGCAGAGGAGATAGAAGTACTCAGGTAAGTCTAAGACTTTTCAAAATGAGTTCATGAAAGGTCTGGCTCTGAGAAGCCAAAGTGCAAAGTTGTTTTTATGAATCTTTAAAAAGATTTATACTGATACATCTGTAAAGATACAACTGCTACTTCACTGGAAAGTGAAGGACCGTAGTATTTTACATTACTCCGCCTTCTATTACATCTGGTTCCTTTTACTTTGGTTTTTATTAGAGGTGAAATAAGCTTCAAATAATCCATAAAACCATTAACCTAAATCGTGACTTTGGAAAACTATCAAATTTATAATGTTCAAGAGGTAGTTGTCTTGTTTTCAGAAGCACTGTGTATTACTAGTTTTTAAAAACTTCTTTTATTGTTACCTTCTGCAAGTTAATCTTTAGAAGATGATTGATAGGTTTATAACTCTTCTTTTTTGTTTTTCTTCTGACTTGCAGGAAGACTTCAAAGATTAATGGCATTGAATATGTACCTTTCATGAGTGTTGATCTGAGGGAACGTTTTGCCTTCCCTATGCCTTTTTCGTAAGTATACTTCAATTGCTGAACTTCATTTTTGTTTTTATCTTCAAAACTTTTCAAAATATTTTCAAATTTTCAAAATATTTAGTATTTCTGTATTTTCTTTTTCAGGGTTTAAAATTGTTTACATAGGCTTTTAAGCATAATTTAGGCAGAGATATTTAAATACTACCAATTCCTTCTTCCACTCTGAACTTAAAACTTTATTTTAAGCTGATCCTGCTCTGTAGTACTTTTGCACTTACGTCTTCAAGCCTATAAAGATAATATTATATTTGGCTTTTTGGATTATTGGGCTTGGCTGGCAGCTTCAGTCTGTTTTCTGATGCTGCTCCATGCTAATGAGTTTAGCTCTGTTGCCTGTAATATGGAGGTGATAGCTGTTTCCTGTGTAAAGGGCTGTTCTAAGGAAGAGTGATATATAACAGCTAGACTTTTATTCATAAGCAATAATAAAAAGATTACACAGCCAGAATAGATAAAGACATTTGGGTTTGGTTAAATTTTTTTAACATTTTTGCCTTTTTCAGCCTTAAAAATTACAAAATTAGAAGCAGTGTTCTTGAAATTGTTTTACAACTTTATAATTGTTCTGTGCCTATTTTTCACCATCTATCAGACATATTTAAGACTGCAGATACCATAAAAAGCTCTTTTAAACTGCTGTTGACTCTACTTTTTTTTTCTCTCTTAAATCTAGTGATAAGTGTGGGAAGCTACCATTATCCCCCAAACAGAAAGCAATGTTCGCCAAGTGGGTGCGACCAGATGACATAACAAATAACCCTACAATGATCTATACTGTATCAAGTTTCAGCATAAAGCAGGTAATTTGTTCCCAAGGAATATTGTGTGCTGCTAGTGGTTTATCATGGGGAACTTTACTGTTCAAAGAGGAATGCCCAAATATGAGAGTGCTTTCCTTGGCTCTTATGAGTTCAAATAACTAGAACAAATTTTGCTCTGTAGGGGGCTCATATCAAGCAAGCATACATTTTCTGCCTCTTTAATAGTGGCTTTGCTTCTTTTGGTTTAAATCCTTCCCTTTTGAAGGGAATTACTAACTGTTTTTCTTCCCACTTTCCACTTTCTTCACACTGCATTCATCTCTCAATATCTGAGTTAGTCATAAATGTCCTCACTGGTTTTCTTTTCTTTGTAGACAATAGTGTCAGATTGTTCTTTTGTGGCATCACTAGCTATCAGTGCAGCATATGAAAGAAGATACAACAAAAAACTGATCACAAGGTAAGCAGCTCTTGCTTTGTAAGATCTTTTCAGACTTAATACTGCCAGGCTTTTGCAGCATGTTCTGTGGCAGCTGTACACAGTGAAAAAACAGCATTTGTTTCACCTTCATCTCCCTTGGACTCATGTGGTTTCAGTACTTCTAAGTTGGAAGTCAACTTTATATTGAAACAAAGGATTTGAAGTCTAACAGCAAAAAGCTGTTAGACAAACATTCCTAATAAAAATTTTGAGTCAAAATTTGGAACAGATCATGGATTTATTCACCATAGACATGTTCAAAGAAACAACAAATTTCAGACATTTATATATGCTCTAATATCTGAGATTTTTTTATAGACACTCCCAAAAGTCTTGCCCAATTTATTGCATCATGGTATAGGTATTCTGTTTCTTTATTACTACCAGAACATCTCATCTGTCTTTGTTTAGTGGATAACCCAAGTTTTATCCAGCTAAGCAGCACTTTATATTAAATTTGCTGTCCTGGTTAGACAATTACCACTGACTAAGTTTTCTGGGGTGTAGCAAGCCTATGAATTGGCTCCCTTACTGTACCTGCAGTGTATTAATCAGGTTTTCTGGGGTGTATAGGCCTTAGACTCCTTAACTTGCTCAAGATAGCTTTCTTTTTCTATGACATTTTATTCATCTCTAGTTATATGACAACCATTGAACAGTTCTGTATTGAATTTTGTTCTTCAACTGTTGATTAAGTTCTCTAAGAGGTATGGGTTCACAGAGTTCCTTTCTGCAGGTGCTGTGAGATAATTTCTCAGGGTTTTCTACTGACACTTAGCCAGCACAGGTCTAAATCAAAGCCATCTAAAACCACAGTCAAACATTTCTTGACTAATTAAGCATAGTTCATTACAAATTTTTTTTAAAAAATCACAAAACTCCTGTCTAAGTAACCTATAACTCACTGTCAATATACATATGTATACAGACAATAGAATCTAACTTCAGATGTGCTTTGAGGAGTAAGATTAGTTTGGAAGGATTTTGTATTTGTTTGGGATTTTTTAAGTATAAACTTTATTTATAATGCTCTCTAGTCTCATTTTTCTACTTTGTTAGCTGCTGTGCATCAGGTGGTGCATTTTACATCTCACTGTAGAATGAATGTTAACAACACTATCTCACCTCCACTCACTTGGCATTCTATGATAAGTTTGCCGTGGGTTTTCTGGACTTTGCTGGGAGGCTCTTGCCAGACCAGTGTGTGAATGTTTTTGATTGTTTCATTTTAACCTATTCTTTTTAGAACTGAACTTGTATTTTCAAGAGCAGCAAGTTCTGCACTGCCTTCTCCTTCAAAAGTTGGACTTGTCATTCAGACAAATATTGTATTTATATTGTAGATTTGTAAATACTGCTTGTTTAATCATAAGATAAGTTTGCTTGCTGTGCTTCTCTTTGTGAAACAATTAGGTTACTTATGTTCTTTTTGCTACTGTATTAGTAGAAAGCTGCAGCAAGAGTAGGGCCTGAAAAAACATAAAACCTATTTAAACATGATTATTTTTGCTAAATTTGAGTTTCTCTTCATTAAAAATTCCATATTTCTGTTCAGTGTAAATTCCATAAACAGACTGTGTTAATCCTGCTTTTATTGTTGTAAGTGTACAGCCAAATAATTTATGTAATAATTTCCTCATTTTCTTTTTTTTTTCTATTAACAGTATAATTTACCCTCAGAATAAGAAAGGAGAACCAGAATATAATCCATGTGGTAAATACATGGTGAAGCTTCATATCAATGGTGTTCCTAGAAAGGTAAATATTTTTGGGGATCTTAGTACTGTTACTGCATAAGTTGTGGGTTTTAAAGGCTTGATCAGCTTCACTATGAAGTGCTTGCATAGCAAAAACTTTAGGCAGGTGTTTTTTGGAAAGTTTTGGAAAGTTTTTAATTATTAAACCTTTTTAAGATTCATTTTGAAGTATGCACCCACATACTTCTTCTGTCTGTTCTTCTATAGGTGTTCATAAAAGTAGCCTTACATTAAATTAATGTAATTAAATGCCTTGTATTACTTAACAGAATTGTGAAAACCAAACAGGAACAAAGCTATGTATCCCCTATTTATAAATTAGATGTGCACTCTTCCACTAACTCTTAGAAAGAATTAAAAAATATAGAGGGAGGTATGAGGAAGAGTATGGATATGAAATGACCGAAGAGGAATAACTCAACTGATAACTCAAGCAAGGCCTTGCTCAACTACAGCTTTCTAGTAAGAAGAGGAAATACCTGAAAATAAAAGATCACAAACTCACAAACTACTTAATTTTCTTTCCAGTGCAATAAATAAAAACAGAGAATAATGTATTTTTCCTTGTAATACTTAACTGTAGCATAGATCATAGTGACTGATGAATGTTTATCAGAGTTCAGAAGTTGAGTGGTTATATTCATGGGGTGGAAAAGTAGAGGGAAACTCCTTAAAGGCTCTTAATTGTTAAGGTATAACCTCTGGGTCAGGAAGTCCTTGAGCTGCAAAATTCCAGAATCTGAATGTTTCAGGAAAGTATCATTTTTGTGTCTGCCTTGCTCTTAGTTTTCTTTCCAAAATATCTCCTAGTGGCTGCCTTTTGTCAGGATGAATGGCCATTTACTCTCCTATGAAAAGGTCTATTCATTCCTGCACAGATAGGATTTGACCAGAGAATGTGCTGTGTTGATAGCTTGCATTTGTAAAGGACCAGTGCCAACAGGAAACTGAAACTCCTATTCACAGGAACTGTTTCAGATTACTGCAAATATGCAGTAAGAATATGTAATGATGATGAATATATAGTACTTAACTTAAAGAAGAAATGTTACTACTGCCAGAGCTGCTGCTTTAAGGTGTTTTTTCTCTTTAGAGAGAAGAAACTTAGATCTGGAACTGGAGGCTATGAAAGTGACATGACACTATTTGTTTCCTTAAAGATAAATAAATATTTATTTCTCTGCTTCCTAACAAGTATTGTCCATGCTCTGATTCCTAATTAGATGAGTAATATTATTAGGCTTTTCTTTACTTTTTATGCTTGTAATTTCATGGAACCTTTCCACAAGTGCCTTTTGCAGTAACTATTGCACACTTTATAAGAGTGTACTGTTACCATCACTCAAGGCAGCCACTCACATGTCACACAGTTAGACCAATGCAATCAAGAACTGGCAGTAGAATTTCTTGTTCACTTGGGCAAACCACTGCAGGATTGATGGAAGTGTCCATATGTGAGAATAATGGTCAGGTCTGGCTGTGTCTGAAAAGCTTCGTATTAATGAGGGTTTTATCTTCTGATTACTTTCAAAATACTTTATTAGATTGATGATGATTTTTCATTCATTTCACACAGGTAATCATAGATGACCAGTTACCTGTTGATCATAGTGGGGAACTTCTCTGCTCTTATTCCAATAATAAGAATGAATTATGGGTGTCACTAATAGAAAAGGCTTACATGAAGGTCATGGGAGGATACGATTTTCCTGGATCAAATTCTGTAAGTATGAGATTATTTCTAAGAGGAAAATATTCCACTTAAATAATAATGGATAAAGTAATTTCCTTCTAGTGAAATCAAAGTGAACAGCTTGGGGAGACGAGTATTTGGTTAGACAGTCTCTAAATTTTTTTCTGTTTCTTTCACAAATATTTTTAGCTGTACTTAATGAAATTATTCCATCAAAACAGAATGAGCAAGACATCTTGATGGTCAAAGTTAATCTTAGTTCTCAGACTTCAGTATTGATGCTTGTACGTATAGATTCTAGATGGAGGTGTTGGGTGAAGTCATAAATTCTCTTTGGCCATGCCAATACTGCTGATTTTGGTTTCTAACTCTTTCAATAAATAGGACAGTTCTCCCTCATTAGTTAATGGAGTCAGCTAGGAAAGGAAGAGTCTAGTCATTTAGAAGGTCTATATAGGGGGAGCAAGTACTTTGATCTGTGCAAGTTTGTTTATCAGATTGTTCCACTCATCTCCATAAATATGCATTGGGTTTCTATAATGTGGTTACCAAAGAAACAGTCAACATATTACATACAAGTGACATGCAGGTTATTCTTTAAAGAGGGTTTGCTGAAATGAGTAGCCCACATAATTTGTTACTTAGTTAAAATCAGAAAGGCTTCCTTTATACTATTAAAATTTTAATTTTTTTTTTTAATTTATGGTGCTAATTGGTGTCTTGACAATCACATTCTTGTTGGGTATACTTGGTAATCATCACCACTTGAAAAACTGTTATGGAGACAAACGTGACTTTGTATAAGGGGTAAATGTAGCACACATTTTTATGTGTCAGGCTGCTTTGCTTTGAAGGCCAAAAGCTGGTGAAAATAACTATGTTTTATTCCCATTGTCATCCTCTAACTTGCTATCTGGAAAAGCAGCTTGACTGGTGACATTTAATCTCCACCCTTCCTGCCCCCTCCACTTTCTACTGTATTCCAGCTTCCTTCTGTAATCAGGGTTACTTACAAACAGACTGTCTTGTACTTTTAATTCCTCAAATTCCCACCCTCACAGTGCTGATTATTGACACTTCAAGCATTTACAGTCTCTGCTTTTGCTTTGAGGAGTACAAAGCAAAAGAACAGGTATTAAGAAATATTTCAAGGAGTTGAGAAATTAAAGCACCTTGTTATGGAAAGACATGTCAGTGTCAGCTTTATCAAAAATAATAAAAAACCCAAACCCTGAGCTTTAGAAAAAAACCCCATAAATTATTTAAAATGCATATCTAATAGCAAGGTACCAAACAGTGCTTCTGAGATATGTTTTCCAAATCTGTAAATCAATGAAATAAATAGAACACATCACACAGTTGAACATGACTGATGATTCTGATATGCTTCCATTGCTCTGGAATTTCATCTGTTCTCTTTTCAGCTTGTTTGTTGATTTTTTTTTTTTTAAGTTACTTGGAAATGATGTCCTTGTCTAATCAAAGAATTTTTGTTTGTTAGTCTTAATCTTGACCCTTTTATGTGCAGAGCTGTATTGTAACTTCTGTGTACTTGATTCCTTCCAAGGCATTTTATAAGCTGTGTACAGACATCATATGTTTATATATGGATTATCTGTTCTGATTTCTTTTGAATACTTTCATTTCAGAATATTGATCTTCATGCACTGACAGGTTGGATACCAGAAAGAATTGCTATGCACTCTGACAATCAAGCCTTCAATAAAGACAGCACTTTCAGAATGCTTTATCAGAGGTAAACATTTTTTCTTTCCCAAGTAATTAAAATGCTTGCTGTGTATTAGCTGTGTTACCATTGTAAGAGAAGTACAGTCATGCTGTGTATTAGCTGTGTTACCATTGTAAGAGAAGTACAGTCACCACAGATACTTCAACAGCATTTTGGTACTGCTACAAATTGTGCTTTTAAAACCTCCATGTGCTTTCTGGAAGAAGAAATATTGAGGTACTGGTGGCTTTGACAGAACAGAAGATTAAAATCCTGGGGTATTTTGTGCAACAGAATTCTTCTTCTTTATGTATGAATAAAAAAATAACCCTTTCCTTGATAAAGAAAACAGAATATAGAGTCAGAGAAGAGTAGTTTGGAACCAATATACCAGTTATATCTGGTACCAGTTATAATATATACCAGTTAAGTGTTTAAAAAGAAGAAGGATATGTGCGTTGAGTTTCCACACAGTTCCCCAGAACTGTATTATGTCTGCTGTCCTTAGCAAGCAGATATTATACAGTATTTCTAGTTGTATCACAAGATTATGGCCCATCAGTAAATCTCCTGGAGGAGCAACAAAAGTCCATCAAAACTGCAATACTGGTTTTCAGACCTACAGCAACAGTAGGTGGATTTGATGGTCTTAAAGGTCTGAAGTAAATGATTCTGTTATTTTGCTTATGGTGTAAGAGCTGTAAATTATAAATGCCAAGTATACCAAGTACTTTGATTTCGTTCAAAACAGTTTTGTGCAGCCAGTGTCTTATATATTTCACTGCAGTAGAAGGGGATTATTCTGTTGACTGAAACATCTGCATCCACAATAGAAGTGTCTTTCTACAGTGTTTTTCAGTTGCTTAGGAGCTCTCAGAGCTGTCAATAATTTTTCACATGTTCTGGTGTTGTAATTTGAAGGTGTGACTGAAGTTAGGATGGGATCTAGCCATTGGAGCATTGCTGTTGTTCACCTGTGCTAGAGTGAAAATGTGTTGATCCGTATAGTCCAGTGATCCTGTAATCTATCTAGGGACACTGAGTATGTACTTGCATTTTTAATGTAGGCTGGAAACATGTTAGTGTGTTTTCATAACAGTAATTGTTCCAAAATTAACAATTGCTATTCAGAACACTAAACTTGAGTATAAACAGCTGCAGAATTTCTCATTCTTCAGGATCCCAGGGCTATGACAGACTTGATAATTTGCTATCTATAGTCATCAAGTAAGTGGTGATGGAAGCACATTTGTGCTCAGCTGTGGATCTGTGAAGTATCTTAAAACTGACACAGGCTGAGCTTCAGGTTGATAAGTGCTGAATTTTGTTTTAGAGAATATGAAATTATATTAAAATAATATTTTTTTTTAATTTAAACTATATACTTAATTCTGAAAGAAAAATAGTTCCACTTTCTCAAATTTTCTTCAGGAGTGATTTCTGCTGACAAAAACCCCTGTATCCCAGTTTTTATAAAACAGGATCTTGATAATGGACAGTGTACAAACATGCTATTGCAGTGTCTGGAAAATGTTAGATTGCAACTTGTGAGATTTAATTAAGCTTTTTTTTCACCTCTTTTTCAACAGATTTCACAAGGGAGATGTCCTTATCACAACAGCAACAGGGGTGATGTCTGAAGAGGAAGGAGAAAAGTGGGGTTTAGTTCCAACCCATGCATATGCAGTCTTGGATATAAGAGAATATAAGGTATCAAGTGAAACTGAAGGTGGTTTTAAACTCCTGTTTTAAACCTGCATGTGTTTCTAGGTTTACCCTAGATGGGTAGCTACTGATTTTTTTTCTCTAATGGCTAATGTGTTTTTTGTCTTGGACTCCACTAGGAAATTTCAGAAAACTTGATGATTCTGTGTTTTCATGATCCATATAAAAACCACTTTCAATATGTAAAAATTACTGTGACAAGATGAACTGACAATTTTACTTTGTGTGGTTTTTTTTAGGGACTTCGATTTCTTCAGCTAAAAAATCCCTGGAGCCACTTACGTTGGAAGGGACGATACAGTGAAAATGACACAAGAAACTGGACCCCAGATTTACAAAAATACTTGAACTTTGATCCCAGGACAGCTCAAAAAATAGACAATGGTAATAAGGTTTTAAAACTTACTATAGATCTTTGTGGTGTATCCCCTGCAGGAAGGTGGAAAGGAATGCTTACACACAAGGAGAGTAAAACAAATACTAGAAACTAAATAGCCCAAAAGTTTAGGAAGTATTTATGTATTTAAATCTGTCATTTCAGGTTTTTCTGAGATTTAGGTAATCTAGACTGTTAAATATATATCTCAAATTCATTGACAAGAAAGTACCTTCTTGGTTAAGTGTGCTGTCTCAATTTGTGGGAGTTCTGTGCAAAGAGAACATTCTGACAATAAACTGTGTAATGCTGCTTTTTAATACATGAATGGACTTTTTGTGGGTTTTTTTCCTCTCCAGCATTTTCAAATATGTATCCACATG